TTTCATGCCTGCTCCTGCTCTGCTGGTGGGCACGTGGGCCGTGTCCAGGTCTCAGCCATTGTAGCCTGTGCTGCTGTGAGCACAGGGCGCACACGTTCTTCCTGAGTGGTGCTTCCGGTCTCTTGGGATAGATTCCTAGAAGTGGGATCCCTGGGTCAGATGGAAGTTCTGCATTTGATTGTTTGAGGGAACTCCATACCGTTCCCCACAGTGGCTGCCCGGTCTGCATTCCCACCAGCCGTGCACGAGGGCTCCTTTTCTCCGCATCCTCACCAGCACTTGTCCTTTGTGGATTTGTTGATGGCGGCCATTCCGACAGGTGTGAGATGGTACTGCATTGTCGTTTTAATGTGCATCTCTCTGAGCATCAGTGACTTTGAGCATGTTTTCATGTCTCTTGGCCACCTGTGTGTCCTGGAGAAGTGTCCATTCAGGTCCTCTGTCCACGTTTGGATGGGATGTTTGCCTTCCTTTTGTTGAGTTGTCTGAGTCCCTATGTATTTTGGAGATGAACCCTTATCTGACGTATCGTTGCCACATCTGTTTCCCGTGCAGCTTCCACCTGAGTCCTGACTGACACCTTGTGTCTCTGGGAACACGGGGGCGTGCGGTCCTCTTGGTGTGTCCTCCCTGAGACAGGCTCCCCTGTGCCCATGCACCTGTGCCTGCCTCCTCCGCCAGTGGGGAGGCTCTGCCGCTGCACAACGGCCTGCCCTGGGCTTGCTTTGCGGCCTTCTCCGCTCTCCTCGCTGCTGGCTCGCCTCTGGAGCAGGACCCGCTCTCCTTGCCCTCTGACAGGTTATGAATGAATGTGTGTCTGACACTTGTTCTCCTGCTCCAGGTCCCTGTAACCCATGGGCACCTGTGAGTCCATCCCTCCTGCATCGAGGCCATGTCTTTGCTGCGGGCAAGAAGAGTCCTCATTCAGTTTTTCTTGGCTCTGACCTATCAGCGTGACTGTGGCACTGGACGTTAATTCCTCTTTCCTTCCCGAAACTCTTTGACTTTTGGGAATGTTTCTGTTCTGTTTTCTCTTGATCGCTCCTTGGGTCCTCGGCGTTCACTCACGGAACCTCAGGGCGGTGTCCCAGAGCTGTCATCTGTGCCTCTGCCTGAACCCTGACCACACCAGCAGCTGTGGCCCGGCTCTCCCGTCTGTGTCGCCCTCCTGAGCTTCAGACCATGTGTCCCTCTGCCCGCTCGCCCGGCCTTCCTTGCAAGGCTGTTCCTCCGCCAGAAATCTGCGAGGCCCTGCTCTTCCTCCCACCGGGCCGCCTGGCTCTCAGTTCTGTGCGGAGGCTGAGGAGGGCTCGGCCGCCCGCTCGGCTTAGTTCCTCTCCAGGGTGCTTTGCCCGCCCTGCCCCTCTGCTGTCCCTCGTCTTCCTGCAGCCCTTTCTCTGCGTTGCTCCCAGTGGCTGTTTGTAGGACATGTTCGATCTTGCGCTTTTTCAGTTGATCTTAAAATCTCCTACACTAGCCCACTTGCGTGCCTTTGTGATCTTCACCCTCCTTGAGTTTTTGAGTATTCTTAAAACTTGATTGAGGTATAGCCCTGGCTGGTTTGGCTCAGTGGATGGATCGTCGGCCTGTGGACTGGAGTCCCAGGTTCAGTTCTGGTCAAGGCACATGCCCGGGTTGCGGGCTCCATCCTCAGTAGGGGTTGTGCAAGAGGCAGCCAGTCGATGATTCTCTCTTATCGTTGATGTTTCTATCTCTCCCTCTCCCTTTTTCTCTGGGAAAAAAAATGATAATGACCATACCCATGACTTTCAAAAGTTTCCTCAAGCACCCGGCCAGCTGGCTAGTTGGTTGGAGTGTAGTCCCCACACCGGAAAGTTGCCGGTTCAGTTCCCAGTCAGGGAGTGTACCGGATGCAGCTTACCGATGTTGCTGTCTCACATTCATATTTCTCTCTCTCTCTCCCTCTCGAAAGTCAATAAAAACGTGCTTGGTGAGGGTTAAAGATAAAAAGGCTTCTCAAGCTCCTGCACACCCCCTTGGGGTCCCCCACCGCACCTCCAGCCTGGGCCACCAGGGCTCCGACAGCGAGGCCATGGACTCGCCCAGCACAGACTCTGCTCGCTTTGTGTCTGGCTGCGTTCTCTCGGCATAAAGACTCGTTCACGGGGCCGCTGGTTTCCCTGTCGTGTGGGCTGTATGGGCGTCTGCTCAGTCACTCACCTGTCGGTGACGTTGGGTTGTTGCCAGCTTTCAGCTCAAAACCAAGCTGCGGGGAGGCGTGTGCGTGCGTGTTGCTGGGACCTGCCCTGTCCTTGCTCTTGAGGAGATCCCTCGGCGGGGTCACATGGAGGCCTCTTCATCTTTGTAAAACGTGCCCGACAGGGCTCCCTAGAGGGTCGCACCATATGCCTGTAACTGCGCTCTGGCGCATTAGCTCTGATGTGCTAGAAGTGTTTTTTTATTTACTCAAATAAACATCTAACGATAAAAATCAGTTGGCCTGCACAATACATAAAGTCATGTGACCTGCTACAGGTGGACTGCAAATGGCAAGTGTGTCATTAAAGTCCTGTTCACAGTGTGCTGTAAATGGTTGATGGCTAAGATGATAGTATCAAAATTCATACAGTTGAAATATTAGTTGTTTTTATAAGTGTTATTTCACATGAATATTTGAAGATCTGGCTTCTAAAGTACTTGAGTCAGCAATTAGTAAAACTTTAAAAATGACGATAAGTCTTCATATATGGCTTTGTTTTACTAACTTTGAGATATTTCTCAATAGCACAAAGCAGTTCTTTTAGTGACCAACAGTCAAGGAACGGGATTAACCGTAATTGTATGGGTGACAATGTTTTACTTACATCTTTGCTAAAAAGTTATACTTTAATCCACATTTTGTAGTTGTTGTCATCATAAACACGACGCTTATAGTATTTTGTTTTTTTAACAGAACAAAACTCCTTTAGTCAACGAGAGCCTGAAAAAGTTTTTAAATACGAAAGATGGTAAGAGGTTCAGCTCTTCTTGTTTATTTTGTCTGTAAATTTTCAAATCGTGACTCTATTTGGGAGAAATCAGGGATTTCAGATCACTTTTTGGTGTCTGTGATCCTCATAGGTCCTTATTTCTTAAAAGGAGATTTTATTGGACTGCTGTTAGTTGCTCTACTTACCATTGGTCCGGGGATGGAACCAGCTTTACTGTAAGAGGCAGAGCTGTCCCGTGAAGTGTCACAGTGTCTCCCTGATGGTTGCTGCCAGACCTAGGGTCCCAGTGAGGCCCTGAGGAGACCGGTTTCCATCACTCAGTTGTACGCGGCAAAGACCAGCCCTTGCGTAAACCATGTAGAAGCTTCCCTCCCCTTAGTGCACCTGTCCTGTCTCAGTGTCAGGGGCTCCGGCGTGAGGGCTCGCTCACCGCCTCTCTTGCCTCGCAGGCCGGCTGGTGGCTAGTCTGGTGGCAGAGTTTCTCCAGTTCTTTCATCTGGATTTCACCTTGGCCGTTTTCCAGCCTGAAGCCAGCACAGTAAGAATGATTTTCACCGCACTTTGAAGCCTTTGACACGATGAGCTCATGAACAGCTGAAAGTCAACACTGGACAGCTGTTGTGTCTTGCATGAGGATGTTGTTGTAGCTCCTGGTTTTCTTACGCGCCATCCGTCCTCGAGCTGGCAGCGGGTCCTAGGGCCCCTGCTGTACTTCCCTGGGAGGGAGTGTTGTGGTAAAGGCGACTTGCTCTGTTAGACTGTAGCTGTTAATGTGGAGACTGGTGCGCGAAATAAACAAGTAAATATCCTGACTCTTGCATTTTCTATATGCAGAATTCCAAATAGAAACTTGCTCATGTGGTGGCATTGTATTTTATGTCACACACGTGAGCAACTGTGCTTCCTGTGGAAAAAAGTATCATTAAACGGTGTGGGTGTTTGAGGTCTCTGTTCTGTTCAGTGAGTGCATATTTGGGAGCGAGCTCAGTGTGGGGAATGTGGCTCCATGGCC